GTTTAGTCGGAACTCTCCACTATGACCTGTCCGCCTTGGGTGGCCCTGCACGGCATAGCCCATAGCTTCTCTGAGTTGCTCAAGCCCCTTCGCCGCGACAAGGCAGCAATCCATGAAGAGGTGATGGGCATACAAAAACCATTTACAGAGGGCAATGATGCTTCTCTAAATGAAATTATATAGATGACAAAAAACAACCAAGCTTCTTAAGACAATTAAGCATATTTTCCCAATGCCTCTACTACACTTTGATTCTGATGGGAGAGAGGGGGAGTGAAATGTCTCAACATTGTGCCGTTTAGCTAAGCACATGCACAGTTATGTTCCCAAAGCTTGCTAATAGCGCAAAATAGATATTGACAACAAAGACCAACAACAAATACAGCCTAGTTGATAAAGCATATAAACTATAATCATGGGTTGAAGTATATTATCCTGTTTAATATCATCCTGTTTAATGAATCTTGGAGATGGTTGTTGTAGGTTTTTCAGGCTGTTTGGCCATGTTCTGGTGGTTTTTCTTCCTAATCTTTCTCCAGTCTCTGTGGCTGATATCTTCAGAGGACAGGAGTTAGAACTCTGTCTGTGTTCTGGTGTAGTGTGTGCGACAGTTGAGTATTTGTAGCTGTGGGATCAGCTTTTTGTCCTTTTCAGGAGATTGGTTGATTATGATGATCAGGGTGTTTTTTGTTATGGGTGTATTCTTGTGATAAGGGGGGGAAATGATCTGTCACTGTGATTGATGGGTGTTGTTAGCTAGTCTTTTGTGTGCAGTGATCACGAGTCCTTGTGGCAGGGTAGAGTTTGTTGACCTTTTTGTAGGCTGTACTCTTCTGTGCTGGGAGCCAGGCTTTGTTGAGTTTTAGACCGCTACAAATACTCAGCTATCCCACACACTACACCAGAACACAGACAGATTTCTAACTCCTGTCCTCTGAAGATGCCGGCCACAGAGACTGGTGAAATGTTAGGAAGAACAACCTTCAGAACACGGCCAAACAGCCCGAAAAACCTACAACAACCATTGGATCCTGGCCATAAAGCCTTCGAGAATACAATCTTAGAGATGCTTTCAAGGATTGACTTGCAACTACTCTGTAGAGTGTGAACAGCTCCTTTAAGCATATGTGAAACACTTCACAGTCAAAGATTGTTGAGGGACATGGCAGAACAGTGACAGTTTGCATTCACTCTTTCAGCAACTCTGTACTCTTGTTTATCATTCTGCCTCACAGCTGGCTTGTGAAACAGATATACTTCTGAGATAAAACATTTCTCACTCACCCCCATGTGGGAAAAACTGTGCATAGATGTGTTTGAATGTCTCTTCGTTAACAGCTCCACTAGGACATTCCTGTTGGAAAAACAAGGAGCAAAAATAGTTAAGTTTTAATTTGTGGTATTGCCTTTCCTGTCATATTGTGACACCTGTTTCCTGAGTGCACCTTGTATAGCCTAGAATCAAAGGAAATCTCTTATCTTGATTTCTGTCAGTCTCCACTCCACCCCAATTTACAAGAACATTTTTGCACTCACAGTGTAGTGAAATTCATGTAGAATAAGTTTGATGCATGGTTCAATTCACAACTCAAGCCTGTTCAAGAACCTGCAAAAAATCAGTTTTGTCAAATCAACCCTGACCTCCACAGACAATTGGGAGGGTGGATATCCTAAGGCTGTTAATTTCATTTGACTCTCACCAAGTGAAGTGGTACAGCTACCTTTATTTCTCTAATGTGAGAGGCAAGGAATATTCTGCAGCATCCAGTAGTTTCAAAACACATTTTCTGGCCTCCCAGTTACGTGTAAATAAAACCTCCATGTAAAGGCGGAACATGCTTCCGTTAACCAGTTTCTGAGCTCAGCCAACAGAAGATCATATATTATTTTTATGTCCTGCCTGTGAGTTTCCAGAAGCAGCTTCTGGCTATTGGGGGTGGGAATATAAGGGCAGAAATCCAGCAGCAAGTTGCAACGAGAGTAGGTCTATTGAACTAATGAAAATTACATAGGTGTTGACTCACCAAATCCACACTGACTAAAAGGACTATTTAGTTGCAACTTACTACTGGGATTTCAGCCATTAATTATATGTTAAATAGATGGTCTTGCTTGCAGGAGGGGCGTTGTGACGCCCTTGAACTGCGCAGCGGCTTTTGCTCGCCTGGCCCCGGAAGAAGCAAGCCAGTGGGCCACGTGACAGGGGTGAGGGCTGGGATTTCATATAAAGAAGCCCCAGCCCTCTATTTGGCCTCTTTCGCTTTTGGTACCCACCCGCCCACCCTCTTTCTAGTGTGTTTTTTTGGGTTGCCTTTTTTAGGGGCCAGATAGGAATTTTTGACCTCCACCCTGATTGGCTTTTGGATGGGGGGATTTTTCACCTATCCCTCACTGGAGAAGGGTTGCTGGCATTCGATGGTGGTTATCCTCGGTCACACTGGCGGGTAGTGCGGGAAAAACTGGTTGTCTCGGTGTGTCCCTTTGATAATTATGCTAAGCCAACAGCGCATCGGACCTTCCGG